GTTCTCCAACCATCTCTTCCCCTCCAGGGTCCCCCTGGGTCTGCTGGTTCTCCCGGCAAGGACGGACTCAATGGTCTCCCTGGCCCCATCGGTCCCCCCGGTCCTCGTGGTCGCACTGGTGACGCTGGTCCTGCTGTATGTATCCTTGACCCCTCTTCCTCACGTTCCTCCAGCTCCAAGAGCACTCGCTCAGACACTGGTAACCCCTGATCTCTCTTTCCCCACAGGGTCCCCCCGGCCCTCCTGGACCCCCTGGTCCTCCTGGTCCTCCCAGCGGCGGTTACGACTTGAGCTTCCTGCCCCAGCCACCTCAAGAGAAATCTGGCGATGGTGGACGATACTACCGGGCCGATGATGCCAATGTGGTCCGTGACCGTGATCTCGAGGTGGACACCACCCTCAAGAGCCTGAGCCAGCAGATCGAGAACATCCGCAGCCCCGAAGGCACCCGCAAGAACCCCGCCCGCACCTGCCGTGACCTCAAGATGTGCCACCCTGACTGGAAGAGCGGTGAGGGCCCACGCCGGCCGCCCCCTCCTCCTCCGAGGGTGCTGCCGCTCCTGTGACCCTGACCCCCTGTCCTGTCCTGCTTCACCGCAGGAGAGTACTGGATCGACCCCAACCAAGGCTGCAACCTGGACGCCATCAAGGTCTTCTGCAACATGGAGACGGGAGAGAGCTGCGTGTACCCCATCCAGCCCACCGTGCCTCAGAAGGTCTGGTACATCAGCAAGAACCCCAAGGAGAAGCAGCACGTCTGGTTCGGCGAGAGCATGGAAGGTGGATTCCAGGTGCGCGAGCCGGACCCTGGGCCACATGCAGGAGAGGCCAGCCCAGGGGCCGGGAGGGACCAGATCACTGCTGCGTGTGGGGGCTAGAGTCGGCCTGGGGCAGAAGTCTGGGTCCTTGCTACTGGCTCAGATGCAGGTGCCCAGGGGCAGTGACACCCCTCTTGATTTGAGGAGGTCCTGGGGTGGGAGGCCAGGGCAGCGGCTGCACGGGTTACTCACTCCCTGCTCTGTCACCTCCCTTGCAGTTCGAGTATGGCAGCACAGACTCCGACCCTGCTGACGTGGCCATCCAGCTGACCTTCTTGCGCCTCATGTCCACCGAGGCCTCCCAGAACATCACCTACCACTGCAAGAACAGCGTGGCCTACCTGGACCAGAAGACCGGCAACCTCAAGAAGTCTCTGCTCCTCCAGGGCTCCAACGACATCGAGCTCCGGGGTGAGGGCAACAGCCGCTTCACCTACGTCGCCCTGGAGGATGGCTGCACGGTGAGTCCCCCGCCCTTGGGCTCTAGGCCCAGGCTTTCAGGGCACTGCCAAGCACCCCAGCTCCCTCTCTGTCGTTGGTGACGGTCTCTCCCATTGTCTCCCTCACCCCAGAGTCACACAGGCGCCTCAGGCAAGACAGTCATTGAATACAGAACCACCAAGACCTCCCGCCTGCCCATCATCGACGTGGCCCCCTTGGACATTGGCGCCCCAGACCAGGAATTCGGCTTTACCGTTAGCCCGGCCTGCTTCGTGTAAACTCCCTCCACTCCACCCTGGCCCACTCCCACCCAGCCCAGTCCCCTGCCCGGAAACAGAAAAACAATCCAAACTGAATCTTCCAAAAAGCCAAAAAAAAAACCAAAAAAAAAAAAAAAGGGAGACAATTTCACATGGACTTTGGAAAATATTTTTTTCCCTTTACATTTCATCTCTCAAACTTAGTTTTTATCTTTGACCAACTGAACATGACCAAAAACCAAAACTGCATTGAACCTTACCAAAAAAAGAATAAATAAATCAGTTTTTAAAAAAGGAAACTTGGTCCACTTGCTTAAAGACCCATGTGGGGGTAAGTCCTCTTCCGCCCATTGGGCTTATGATACCCCAATGCTGCCTTTTCTGCTCCTTTCTCCACCCCTTCTTGGGGCCTGTCTTCCACTGCTCCCCAAATCCAAGTCGCCCCAAAAGGCATAAGAAATAATGCATTGTCTGCCCAGCAACCAAAGGCAATGCCAAAACATTCCAGGGTCCTCTAACCCCCAGCCCGCTCCCACTACCTAGTTCCCCCCAGTCCTGGGGGGACCTGGGGTTCCCAGATTGCCACAGGAGCCTGCCCATCTGGCACCCTCACGGCCTCGGCAACACACCCCACTTTGTTTTCAAGACGGCCCTTCCTGGGGGTCTGGAGCCAGTGGAGCACAGGGCTGCAGCACCGCAGAACAGAAACACCGGACTTGGGGAGCACCTGGGTCCTCCTGGTGCGCAGGGCTGGGTGTGGGAGAGCTGTCTGTTCCTTGTGTAATTGTGTTGCTGAAAGACTACCTCGTTCTTGTCTTTGTGTGTCACCGGCGGCGACTGTGTGGGGGCGGGGATGGGGCAGGGTGGTGGTGGCCACCCCTTTTGATACCAAAGGTGCTACACCCTCGTGATGGGGTGGGGAAGGGGAGGGATCTCTGGTGCTAAAAGAGTTGGGATGCGCCCCCCCCAAGCCAACAAATGTTCCTTTTTGCTCAAAATCTTTTTGTTCTTCAGTTCTTCTTTCCTCCTGTCCTTCTTCCTTGCAGATGGGGACTCGTGAATTTTTTTTCTAACGGTGCTATTTAAGGTGGAGGAGAGGGGCGGGCTGGCTGCAGCTGGCCCCTCTCCACCCTCCCCACCCTGCCTTTCTGCCCTTTCCTCTGCTGCCCTGTCCTCACCCCTCTCTCTTCTGCTGCCCTGCACCTGGGTTTCAGAGCACAACTTTCCAAAGCACAAAGCAGTTTTTGCCCCAGGGTGGGAGGAACCAAGAGACTCTGTACCTATTTTGTATGTGTATAATAATTTGAGATGTTTTTAATTATTTTGATTGCTGGAATAAAGCATGTGGAAATGACCCAGACACAATGTGGCCTCCTCATTTCCTTCCTGGGCCTTGGGGGAGGGACAGACCATGGAGGGGGCTTCGGGGTGGGTGGGTTCGCCTCCTGTCTGCTGCCCTTTCTCTGTACCCCTTCTCAACTGGATCCCCATTGCACACACACACCCATGCCTCCTCTTGCCTTTGCGTCTTGATCTTTTTCTTTCTGCTTTCATTTTTCTTCCTTTTGCAATCCTCCTTTCTTTTTTCCAGCTCCTACCCTGCAATGCCATCCAGGCAGCCCATGGTATGTGGTAACACACATGCACGCACACACACGTGCACACGCACCTGTACACGCACAGGCATGCACACACACACACGCTTCCCTTCAGGTCCCAGGCTGACAGACGTCTTGCTCCCTCTCCCAGTGGTGCTGTCAACTCTCCAGGCTGCGTACACCCTGTGGGGTGGGGGTCTGGGGGAAGTACTGCCCAAGGTCCAGGGAGGAAGGGGAGATGGGGTTGTAAGGAGAACCTGGCACCCCCCCCTCCTCCCCAGACACACGTGGAGGGGCATCTGGCTTTGACTCTGGGGAGCAAGCAGTCCAGCAAGAGAGGGGCCCCCAAGGCTGCTGGGGCGCCTGGGAAATCGCCAAGAACAAGGACTGCTCCTGTTCACTCCCATAGGAGGGAGGAGGCAGCCCAGCATTCGGAGCACCTCCTAGGGGTCTTGGGGAGCAGCAAGAAGCATCTGCAGGGGGCTCCCTAGAGAGACGGGAGGCTCCCCCAGGTGAAGGCAAGGGTCCCCTCAAGCCGTTCCGCCCAGCAGCTGCTTATCACCTGCTTCTTGCTTTTTTCCTGTTTCTTTCTTTCTCCAAATTCTTGCTTCCTCTTCCTCCTTTTCCCTCCCTTTCTTTCCCCGAGGTTTTTGCCTTGCCAAGAACCTGAGGCCTCCAGAGGAAGGTGACGGTCGAATCCCCATCTCAGGGAACAGGGACAGCGGAGTGTGTGGTCACAGGGGGGGACAGAGAATCCCGAAACTTGGGAGCCTGGAGCGAGCAGGGAGATGTTTCTGGATCTCACCCAAGGTCCCAGCACCCAAATCACCACGAAAGGAGCAGCTTGTGTCCTGGGTTCCTCCCTCAGGTCTACAGACAGCAAGACCACCCGCCCGTAGATCCGTGCTTGCTGTTACCACTGATCCCTCTTTAGTAAGTCACCACGAGCGCCTGGACCGTGTCAGGGCAGCGTTAAGGAGAAACCAGTCCAGGAAGTTATGGCACAGAAATGAAGATTTAGTCACGTGCATGTTACCAGAAGTCAAGCAATCACCTGATCAGCATGCCACTGCCCAATGACATCTGCCTGCCTGTCCTCTGGCCCAGGTAACCTCCAACTACCTGGACCTCATGTCCTCTGAGCCATCCTGAGCTGAGGTTCTGAGGCTTTACCTGTTCAGCGTCACCTCTACTGCATGGCCCACACCTGTCACAGCAGCCACAAAGGGTACCTGAGGTCCCCAACACGCACCTCACTTCCCACACGATGAACATGATGACTTTCCTCTCGGTCTGCTGCAGCCCCGGCCCCCAGACCAGGCTCCTGTATGCCATGGTGCCGTCTTCTTCCCAACTCGGGCTGAACGGGGCCCTCTGAGTTCCCAAAGCTCTCTGTTGTCCACCCCAGAGACCTGAGATGGCCACTGCTGCCCTGCTCCCCTCTGATCTTCCCTCCAGGCCCGGGGCCGGGTGCTGCCGCACAGACCAAGCATGGAGTCCGGTGTAGACACAGGAGAGCAGACGCCCTGCACAGGAATGAGGGCCCGGGAAGGGCAGCAAGTGAAACCAGCCTCAGCAGGGGCCAGGAGGCAGCAGAAGCCCCAAGCCAGTGACCTCTGAGCTGAGGAACAGGCTATCTGTCTGCACCACTGGCCCCTGCAGCTCTGAGTACTTCAAACACAGCTAACAGGGTGAGGGAAGCAATTCTTACCTCCTTTTGTGTATGGGAGTGTGTGTGTGTGTATGTCTGTGTGTGCGTGCAAGTGTGTGTGTATGTGTGTGTGTGTTTGTTTGGCAACCCTTACTTTCACTAATTGTGATGAATTTGGGTCCAGTGCAGCCCGGCTGGTGGCAGGGGAGTGAAACAACCTCTGGCCACACCTGTGGGTCCGTGAGTGTGGCTGTGGACATGCATGTGCGTGTCTGTGGGCACACGTACTCCATGTCAGAGCCGTGGAGGTGCCTGGACCTGCATGTCTCTGCATCACGTGGTGAGAGCCAGTGTGCGGTTTCACTGTGGTGCAGGACAGGAGGGGAAGAGGACAAAGGGACCATTGTACCAGGCTCCCAACTCCAACCCTCCTTTCCGCTGACATCACGGCTGCCCTAAATACAGCTGCCAGGCCCATCCCCGGGACCTTCACCATCCCTGGGCGCGCAGTGGCACGGCGCCTGCAGCTCCGGGGTCTGCTCTGCGTGCAGGACTCGCCTTTGTCTCCTCTGTGGGGAGAGGACTGGGTTCCCGTGGATCATTTTCATTCAAATCCAGATGGAATATTCTAGAAAGAAAGGAGGCTTCTTTGGGAATTTTTACTGTCGCTGCTCGGTTGGAATCCTGGATCCCTTCTGGGACCTGGACTCACCCATCTCCCGCCAGGATTTTCTAGAACTGGAATATGGTGGGTTTTCCCTCTTTTTCTTTCAGCTTCTTAACCCTTGCTTCCCAGACGCCTCCAAGATCTCCCTCCACAGGGAGAACCAGGCAAAGTGGAGGGGAGAGGCGGAGACGGCGCCCAGCGAGCTGGAGCCACAGGAGATGCCAAGGGGGGCAGGTGGTGCTGAGCGGCCCGTGTGGACCACTAGATGGGGTGCCTTCGGGACACTCCATCCCCACAGGGCACGGGATCCCCCCACACGCATACAGGCGTGTTACTCATGGCGGGGTGCTCAGGGTCTGCCTACGATGAGGGCAGAAGCTCACACAGGAGGCGGTAGAGGAGATGACATGGGTGACTGCATCTGGATCACGCACGTCTGTCTGTGTGTGTGGGCTGGGAATGGGCAGCAAGGGCGTGGAAGGACCAGGAGAAGCTGCACGCGGGAAGGCACTGCCATCCAGAGGCCCTTGGTGCCGGTGAGAGGCCAGGTCCCCCAACCCCTCCTGAGTGTGGGCACAGAAGGCAGCAGATGGGGCTGGGGATGTGTGGGGGACCCAGGAGGCCAGACCTGTGCAGACTGCTCCAGGTGGGCCGGGAGGGAGGGAGAGGGGTTTGGTGGCCGAGGTGTGGACAACATGGGATTCTCCAGGAGGGTGCAGGAGGAGGGCTGCTGAGAGAGGCAGGAGATTCGAGCCAGAGGATCCCTGTGGTGCAGCCCAGGGCTTTGTGGATGCCTGCGGGAGCCCAGATGGGCAGGTGCTCTGCAGACAGCACAGAGAGAGCCACGTCTGGCATTGAGACAACTTGGAGGGTGGCAAAAGAACCCCGAAGAAGTCAGTGTAAAAGCAGCCCGGGTGCTGCTTGCGACATTTTCCAGCAGCCACCTTTTAGAAAAGAAAGAAGCAAGCAAAACTGGTGTTTGTGACATCTGTGACGTGACCTGACATCTGCCCCAAACACCACTACACCCTTGCACTTCTGACACCTTGCTGCTTCGTCTGGTTGCATTTCAAGGCTTTGGTGGCCACAGGTGGCTGCCGTGCGGGGCAGGGCAGGGCAGCACCAGGCAGACCCAAAGCCTGCACCCTAAATTCGCAGGGAGAAATGGAACCTTCCACCAGGTATAGGTAGAGCTTCAGTCTGGACCCTAAGGAGACCCCTGGAAACCTCTGGCCTGGGGGAGACCCTGCGAGAGCTTGCACACCAGAATGTCCCCATTCCTGGAGCTGCCAGCACATGGAATTCTCACAGCAGCCCGAGGCAGGGGTAGCGACCACGTCAGAATTCCTATCCTTTCCAGTGGCTGAGGGCTGCTGAGGGGGCACCCTGAGTCCCCAGTCGGCTGCTCCAAGGTTCTGTGGAAATGTGTGTGGACTCAGGCCACGCTCGGAGGCTGTGCTTACGGTGAAGGCAGAGGCCGTGTACAGGACAACACAAGCAGGGCTCCAGTGGGACGGTAGGAGCTGGTGTGCGGTGGGGTAACGACTGAGTCTCAGGGTGGTGGTGGGACTGGCGGGCACTTGCCATCTTTTGCAGGTGACTATAGGGGTGACTTCGAGGTGGAATCCTGCCCTGGTGCTGGTGAGAGGCCGTGTCCCTGTGTCCCCTCCTGACTGTGTGCACAGAAGGCACCAGGTCGGGCAGGGGCGTGGCAGCTGTGGACAAGGTGAGGAGAGGCCAGGCACGGCCACATCGTGGGCAGGATGTGCCAGGCCGTGATGGGAATGGCAGGAGTTTGGTTCCTGCAGAGGGGTCACTGCCCGGTGTCCCAAGGGGCACTGAGTGTGCCTGTGTCCTCCCCTGACACACACACACACATGCACACACACAGAGGCCAGTGGCAGCTCCACGTCTCCCAGTCGCACCACCCTCCTGGCTGCTCGTCTGGGCTGCTTCCTCTCCAGCCTCAGCCAGGCTCCCATGTGTGTCCCACAGCCCAGCGGGGGCGGAGGAGAGGCCCAAGATCCACGGCTGGGAGGAGCAGAGGAAGGAAGGAGCTGGCCTCGCACACGCACCTGCCTGAGGCTGGGTTGGCAGTGGGAGACACAGGGGTCTCACGGGACAGGGGCAGAGGAGCAGCCCACGCCTCCAAACTGAGCAGATTGTGTGTGAGGCCCTGTGCCATCCATCAGATGATGGCCCAGGAGGGAGGAGGAAATGCCAAGGGAAAGCCGCAGGCCAAGAACCTGTTGGTCTGGGGCTGGATGCCCAGAGCTACGCCTCAAAGCACAGACCCCGGGCCAGCACTGGGTCTCTGCCTACGCCTGTGGCCACTTAGGGACTCAGTGAACTCATTAGGTAGCAGGTGGGCATGGGGTGCCCAGCGAGGATAGGGCAGACAGTGGTGGAGAGTTTGGAAACGGCCTTGACCAGTGCCTTGCCTAGAACTCTGAGAAGTCAGGCGCGGTGACACACACCTGCAAAGCCAGCTCTTAGGAGGCTGAAGCAGGAGGATCCCTTCGAGCTCAAGGCCAGCCTAGACTAAAAGTAAGATCCTGCTTTTAAAAAAAATAAAAACAAAACAAACAAGTAAACAAACAAAAAGAACTGAGAGTGAACTCAGACAGGCAACATCGTCCCCCAGCTCAGGGTTCAGTCTCCTCCTATGGCTCCCCTAGCCCCTCAAGTGCACAGGTGCAGCCCCATGGAGAGACAGCAGGTGAACCCGGGTCCCAGCATGGGAAGAGGATGGAGAGCCTGAGCCCTGACAGCTCCTCCTCTCACAGAGCTGCGTGTGCTGGGAAGGAGCCCCGGGGTAGAGTTATGGGGGCTGGGGGGCTTCCAGCTGCTGAGAAGGGGCGAGTGGTGGCTGCCCGGCTCCTGTTCAAGTCTTCATGCAGCTGCACCTGGAGAAGGGCTGGCACGGGGCCCTGCCTCTCTGCCGTCCCCCTTACCTGGGGTCCCTCTCGGGCTGACCTTGGGAGGAAGCTGTCACACGTGGTATCGGAGACCTTGAGGAAGGCAGGGTGGGCTGATTTGGGTGCAGCCACCTGGGCAAACACCCTCTGGCCTCCGCAGGGCTGGCTGAGCTCCCAAGGGGGGCTGTGGGGACCCCACACTGGTGACAGCGCTAAGCATCCTGGGCATTCAGCTAAAGCTCCAGGTGGCCCTGGACCTCCTGCTTTGCGAATCCTCCCGAAGGCAGTGCACTCAGACAGGCCCGGGTTCTATCCCGACTCTGACTGCAGCTCCTCTGTGACCTTGGGTCCCTCACTTTCTCCCTAGGCCTCGGTTTCCCATAAACCTATAGGATTTAGCTATAAAGTGGGGACCTCGACCCACCCATCTGTCATCATCCAGTTCGCGTGAGGGCTGTGCGTAGCCGAGCTTTCCCTCTCCAGGGGATCTGAGAAGACACCAAATGCCTGGAGTCCAGAGGGCAGAGGGCAAACTGGGGGCCCCTAGGAACCCGGGAAGGCAGCACGGGCAGCGAGGACAGCGGGAGGCTGCCGAGGGAAGTGCGCCGGCAGCCATAGAGGAGCAAGCAGTAGGTATTTATTCTGGGGGCCCTGGCTCCAGAACCCCCCATCCTTCTGCTTCTTCCGAGCAAGTGGGGAATAGCGGGGGATCCAATCGGACAGGAATGGAGTCAGCTGAGGCCCAGGGTCAGCAGCTCTCTGAGAGGAGAAAGAAGAGGGATGAGGTCCAGGCTGGAACTGGAGGCACATGGGGAACACAGCGGCAGGCTGGGAGCCACGCAGAGCATCCCACAGCTCTCCTGCAGGTATAGCCAGGTCCCTGCTCCCCTTTCTTCTCCCCCCACTGCCGCCCCCACCTGGAGACAGAAGCCACCTTGCTTCTAGAAATGACGCTGGCACTGCCCAGCCAGACCCACCTGGCCGGGCTTTCAGTGCTGGTCCAGGATGAGGGGCACCTGGGCGCTGTCCACGCGGGGCGGCAGTCGCTCGCCTGTGCGCACGTTGAACATGGGCAGGGTGGAAAGAGGCCGGGGGACCTCGCGCGTGGCCGCCATCTGCCGCAGCTCCTCCGTGTTCCCATGGATGGTGCTGTGGTGGACCATCTGGATGCTGGGGGACAGGCCAGGAGTCAGCCCCAGGTCCACGCTGGCTGGGGGTGGGGCTCAAACACAGGAAGTGGGGCCAAGAAGTGAACAGGCTCTGGGTCCAGACAGCCTGGTTTCACGGCTGTTCCTGGCCATGTTGGGTCTCAGTTTCCCCCACCTCCTAGATTGCTAGGATCACTACATGAAAAATGCGGCTTGGTATTGGCAGAGCGGCCAGCACAGGACAGGTGCCCACGAGGTCCTAATATGGACAGATTCCACCGTGTGTGTATTTGGAGAGGCATCTGCTCTGTGTGTGTGTGTGTGTGTGTGTGTGTGTGTGTGTGCGCGTGTGTGTGTGTGTGTGTGAGGCAGGAGAATTGCCATGAGTTCCAGGCCAGCCTGGGCCACAAAATGAGATCCTGTCTCAAAAGCAAAAACAAAAAATTCCAGCCACGGTGGAGTCTGCGCTCTGCTCCCGGTGTGCCGGACCCCTGGTCCTGCCCCAGCACTGACCAGCTCCCAGCATGGACTCTCCCTCCCTGTCTCTGTTTCACACCAGGACTCCTGAGCCTCATTCCAAATGAGCTGGGAATCCCAGCAGCACCGAGCGCCAGGTGTGGTGCTCAGTCCTTCCTGAGCCCCCGATCCAGGCCTCCGGCAGCTGTGGCAGCTCTGTATCCTCAGACCACTTCCCACGCAGGGCCAAGCTCCCAGGAGAAGCCGAGTACAGGGTGGTCAAGATGAGGACGCACCTTAGCCTTCGGATCTGGGTTTGCTGCTTTCTGCTCTGTCACTTTGGGCCCATTCCTTAAATCTCTGTGCCTCAGTTTCCTCACATGTAATACAGTTGTGAACAAAAAGCGTTCATCTAGGAGAAGCATGGGAACATTTCCTGGCTTGCCTGGCAGCCTCACTGCCATCATGAGAAGCTCCCGGTTGCTACGGCATCATTGATGCTATTTTCCCACAATGAGCCCCCAGAACTTGGCCTCCGGGGAAGGTGTTTGCCAGCATGAACCTGCCCGGCCTGAGGACGTGGACCTGTCACCAGGTCAGACAGAGTAGGGGCTTCTCACCAGCACCAGGAGAAGCTTTTTCTTAGAGGGGAGGAGGTGACCCTACTTGCCACTGTGGTTGCTGACCAGGCACAGAGGGGAAGCCATCCCCCGCCTGCCTGTCCCAGAAGGGTCATGTTCCTCCAGTCAGAGGGAGGAGGTGGAGTCACCATGCAAGTCTAGGGGAGGATCAAGATGAGTTCCGGAGTCTGGAATTCACACTCAGTCGCCCAGATCAATTTTCCATTCCTCCAGGAGAGGGGGTTACGCAGATGCTGAGGTGACGACAGCCCAGGAGGAAGGGGCATCAGAATCCTCCCCAGCCTTGGCCCCAAGCCCATGGCTGGCCTCAGTCTCCAGGCTTCAGCCCGGATGGGAAAACAGCTTGGGAGGTTTTCCTGGTGTGAGAGCAAACCCCAAACCCCAAGGCACCTCGTCCCAAGAAACCTGCACACGCCAGGCCCAGGCGTGACCTACACACACCCAACACACTCTAACACCCGCCTCACACACCCTGCCTCCGGCATGCAGACCCTGGGACAGTGGCCCCCAGCCCCAGAAGGACTTCATGACCAGTGCAGGCTGTAAAATGCCAACTTGAAAAGTGGCAAACACTGAGCAAAGCAACAAAACTGAATTTTGTCAAATAAATCAACACAAAACCCAAACCAACAAAGGCTGATGCAGGCCATGGCAAAGCTGGGTATCAATTCCAAACTGATGTGGAGAGTGGATTTTCCCAGCCAACATCAGAGCCCCAACAATGGACTCAGGAAGCTGGACCAGATGAAAATCCTAGCCACAGAGAAAACCTGTCATGCACAATGTACAACAGGCCACGCCTGGCACAGCCCCCCAGACCCAAGGAGTAAAATCCTCTCTGTGAAATTAATATGGAAAATCAGTGATCTGTGAAATAAAAATGAAAATAAAAAGATAAAAACGAAGCCTCTAACTGCTTACTATACAGATTTACTCAAAGAGTCTGGTGGGAGGCTGAGGCAGGAGGATCACAAAATCAAGCCTAGTCTGGGCAATATGATGACTTATTGAGATTTAAAATAAAAAGTAAAAAGGGATTTGAGATGCAGTTCAGTGTGACATTCCTGAGTTCAGTCCCCAGTACCAACAAGGAAGTAAAAGACCTGAAGGCTCAGACCCTGAAATTGGCCTTGCAAACACACACTGGCTAACAGGAGCCCACCTCCCTGGCACCTCCTGCCTGCCCCTCCCAGGAAGAAACAAAGGGGCCACTGTGACCCATGCAGGATTCTGGCAGCCTCACAATGTCCCCCTGAGGTCAGCGCAGAGATAACTTCTCTGCCCCCTGAGCCCGCAGCACAAGTCTGCGGAGACCAGCCGTGGTTGATCATCCCTGGACTCCCCCCAGGAAGCCACTGAGGGGAAGGAGCAGGACGCAGCTTGCGCACCACCGACAGCCACCCAGCCATCATCACTCTGGAGGTCCTCACACCCGGCTGCTCTCGCCTCCCCCTCCAGGAAGAAATGCAGAGCAACTCAACACCGCTGCCCGCACCTGAGGCCAGAGCTTCCACCACCACTTCCATGGGTGGAGGCCGGCAGGCCAGCACCTCGGGCGCCCCTGGCAAGAGCAAGGCGGGACACGGCACCTATACCAGAACGCCCTGGAAGCCCAGCATATCCAAGGTGATCCTGAGGACAGTGGCTAACAAGGGGACAAGCAACCTCGTGTCCCTGGCCACCCTGAAGAGTGCGGTGGCCGCCATGGGCTACGATATCATCCGCAATGCCTGGCGCGTCAAGCGAGCACTGAAGAAGCTGGTGGATCAGGGCATGCTCCGGCAGGTGACTGGCAAGGGGGCCATGGGCTCCTTCCGCCTGGGCAAGAAGTCCTCCAAGCCCAAGCTCAAGGCCAAGGGACCACCGCAGCAGAGGTCCAGGCGGCGCCAGGCTGTGCACCGCCGGCCTAGGCAGTGCAGGGCAGGGCATCGTGGCCGGCCTGGACGTCGTCCATCTAGACAGCGCCGGTCACTACTGGGCTCTAAGCAGGGCCACCAGCGGCTTGGCAGCATGGCCAGGCAGCGCTGAAATTAACAAGGTGGGCCGGGGCAGCTGGCGGGGGGCCAGGCTTGCCTTGGGCTCAGTGCCCTGGAATAAAAGGAGCCCAGCTTATTACACGCTTGCCTGCCGGAATCTTTGGGGTTCGGGGAGTGGGAGAGGAAGAGGACTGGGAGTGGGTGCAGAGGAGGGTTAAGGCTATGGGTAGGGGCCCATGGAGCAAGAGAAGAAGAGAGATGGGCTTGGGGAGGGTGGGGCAGAATTGAGAGCACCCATGGCTCTCAGCTGACCTAACCACACGCTTTTTTTTAAATTTTTTTTTTTGTCTTTTTCTTTTATCGGTACCAGGGATTGAACTCACGACTGCCTGCTCGCAAGGCAGGCGCTTATGCCGCTGAGCTAAATCCCCAGCCCCTAACCACACACTTTTTTGTCCCCCCCCCCCCGACAGGGTCTTATATAGTTCAAGCTGGCCTTGAACTCATTATATAGCCCAGGCTGGCCTGGAACTCACAGTACCCCTCCTGCCTCAGCCTCTCAAGTGCTGGGAGTACAGGTGGGCACCACCACACCTGCTTTGAGCATGTGAAGAGAATGTAGCTGGAAATGGAGTTGGAATCATACAGAACCCCAGTGTGTGTCTCAGAGTGAAATCTGTGTGTGTGTGTGTGTGTGTGTACACGTTTCTCAAACCCACTCAGGTCCCCTCCCTCTGTGCCACAATAGATCCTCCTATGACCAGCAGATGAGGTCAGGACGGAGGCTTGGTGACAGCCAGCTCTAGCTCAAAGCTCAGGGCGGGTGTGGCCCCCATCACCCCAGAGGGCCAAGATGCCAGGCTTTGGGGAGCCCACCTAGCCCTCAGCGTTTACTCACTCAGACGTGGCCAGGTCTCTCTTCAGTCTGAGGAAAAGAAAAGCCAAGGGTTAGTTCTGCTCTGGGCTTTGTCTCAGTGTCCCCAGGGCTCCTGTTATGTGGCACTTGGTGATTGCTTTTCATCTCCTCCCAGCAGCAGCCAGGTAGGACCCAAGCAAGAACCCTGTACTCTTCTGGCTGCGACCCACACACCACATCCACCACCCAGTCCAGTGGCTCCGGGGCCCCGAGATGAGAGCCCCAGCCCACCTCCACCCCCACTCACCGTCCCTCCCGCCGACAACACATGACATAGGCCAGTATCAGGGTAAGCAGCAGAGCCACCAGCAGAGGCACGAGGAGGGTGACCAGAGCATCTGTGAGGAAGTCTCGGGCCGTGGCCTCAGTCGGCGGGCAGAAGAACGGGTCGTATTCCAGGATGCCATCGCCTAGGGTAGAGACCTCATCCTCGGGCGCCGGCACGGATTTATCCACCTGCACGGAGCCCAGGGCTGACCCAGGAGTGATGGCTGGTCACCCCCCAGGGGACAGAGCAGAAGCTGGGACCAGCCCACCTCGGGGTACACCCCTGTGTGCAGAGATGGTTTCCTCCTCTGCCCTAGCTCCTGTGCCCAACAGGCCTGGCCCTGCGGGAGGAGCTCGGACCCCACAGTGGTTGCATCAGTGCCGGCTCTTGGCTCCCGCTGCCTGGGTTGACGCCTGACTCAGCCTAGCACTTGCCTGGGATGTTTTGTCCCTGGGTCCCTGGGCTTCCTCGGCTGTAAAGGCAGCTCCGTCCTAGCCTACCTGTATCCTAGAGCGATATGATTTTGTTAATAACTCAGAAACTGTCTACTCCTTATTACAGGGAGGCTGGCTAAACGGCACCTCCGTGGAAAGCAGACAGATATTACACAGTGGCTTGGGGAAGGGGCTTGGGGATCTGTCCTGTTTTAGGATTTGGGCTGGGCAACTCTGGGCAACAAGCCGCTGGAGCCTCCTCACCTGAATTGTAGAAACTGCCGCCCCCTTGTGGGAGAAGGCAGAACTGCTGTGTATGTCCCCAAAACTGAGACCCTAGACTGGCTAGGGTGACTCTGACACAGCAGGAAGAAACAGGACTGGAGAAATCAGAGGCTGGAATGGGAAGGCAGAGGGAGGGAGGGAGAGGACCACAGGGACGCCGCCCCACCCTGCCGTCCCCTCACCAGGGACACGTTGCACCAGTCAATGCGGAAGTGGGGCGCCAAGGTGTCATAGCAGGACAGGAGTGGGGACTGGCCCTGGGCACAGCGGGCCTGGCTGTCTGGGGATGCCACCATCTTCAGGCAGGTGGAGAAGGGCGAGGCCGAGCCCACCTTGATGTACACCCTGGGTGCAGACCGAAGCTGTGTCAGCAGAGGGTGGGGACTGGGGTCCACTCTGCAGTGAGCACCCCACCCGAAAACCGAGGAGACTCCTGCTTTACAGCCACCCATCCTCAAAACGAAAAGCAAACTGCTTTCTCCTCCAGAAGCTCCCCTCCCACACTGTACACCTACCCCTCCTTGCGGCCCTCGATGGGGAGGGGGACTCGGCCACCGCAGTCCAAGGCAGAAGTGATGTTAAGCACCTGGAGCTCCCCTGGCTCCCAGAGGCCCCCCAGAGCCATGAGGAAGCGGCTGGTGGGCGTGGAGGGCAGCACCTCCTCCACGTCATGGCTGCGCACCAGGAACTCAGCTTGGTATGGCAGCCGGGACCCTGAGGAAGCCAGGGAAGATCAGGCTGCGCCCCCAAAGCCCTCCAAGGGGGGCCTCCCACACACCCCCATCTCCCTTGCCCAGCACATCATGAGTCCCCAATGCTCTTCCCAAGACCTAGCCCATAGGCTGTCAGCAGAACTGCCCAAGGCAAAGACATGGGTCCAGTGCCCATCTCTGAAACGATCAATTTCTTTCTTTCTCTCTTTCTTTTTGAGACAGGGTCTTGCTAAGTAGTTCAGGTTAGGGGTTTTGTTTTGTTTTGTGACAAAGTCTCACTATGTAGCCTAGGTTGGCCTTAAACTCACAGCAATCCTCCTGCCTCAGCCTCTGGAGTGCTGAGATTACAGGTATGTGCCACTACAACCAGCTAAACTATCAATTTCTTTCTCCCTCCTCCGCCCTTTTTTTGAGATAGGGTCTTACTGGTAGTTTGGGCAGACTTTGAACTCACTATACATAATCCAGCAAACTGGCTGCCATTCTTCTGCCTCAGCATCCAGAGTGCTGGCTGGCTTTACGGGCATATGCCCTGCTCTCCATTACTCTCCAAGTCTCTTCCCCTCCCCAGGAAGATCCCCCCCCAGAGTGGCAGAGAAGGGGTGGGGTGAGGTTGGAAGTACCTTCAGGGTCCTGAATCAACAGCACCAGCGTCTGCTGAGTGGTGTCAAAGGTGTCCCGATTATAGGCAGTGACCTGGGAGAGGGGGCACATTCTGTTGGATGGGAGTGGACTGATACTCCCCCAAATACAGGTCATGCAAATTATATGCAAATATATGCACATTATACACAAACAACCAGGAAGACACAGTGACCCGCCCCTGGGATATCAGAGGGTCCCGCTGGCACCTCAATGATCTGGCGCCCACGGTCCCCTGGGGTGGCAGTGCCATAGAGGAAGCCAGGCTGGGAGGGGCTGCGCTGGGTGTAGCGGAGCCACCTGGGCAGGTCCGGGTGTCCCTGAAGACGGGCGTGGTAGGTGATGCTTGCTGAGGGCAGGGTGGCTGGGAGAAGAGAGACAGGATTGGAGGCTGGACAGGAGCACCCTCAAGGGGCCCCTTCGCCTACCTCGTGCCCACCAGGCCCCTCTCACCAGTGTCCTCAGGCGGGTGGAAGAAGGTCGCGTGGTCCAAGGTGTGCACAAATATGCGGCCCACAAGCGGGTAGAGGGTGGTCTGCTGGGCCTCTGTGCTCCCCAGCCTGACTCGGAGAGCTGTGGGGACCCATGAGTCCCAAACACAGAGGCAGCCTTAGACCTGGGCAGGGGGTAAACTCCTCCCTCTTCAGCCCCCAGCTCCCACAGATTGGCAGCAAAGGGCACCTTAACTGGCTCCAGGAAGAGGGGTGGGGGCAGCCCCGATGTCCTACCATTTTTTTTTTTTTTTTTTTTTTTTTTTGAGACAGGGTCTTGCTTTGTAGTTCAGGCTGGCCTTAAATTCTCAGGTCTCTTCCTGCCTCAGCCTGCCGAGTGCTAGGATGACAACCATGCACCACCATGCCTGGCTGTGGGTTACCATTTAAATAGGTGACAAGAGTCACACTTCCCTTTGGTTCCGATGTGTGAGAGGCCCTCCTCTACATAGACAGAGCTGATGTTTAGCTGGTAGGGGCATGGGGAGGGTTTAAGGAGTATGTGCATGCACACATGTGTGTGTGTGTATGTGCATGAGTATTAACTTGGGAAAGAACCTCACACTAAATATCTGGGAGGCTGCAGGGTGGGGAAGGGGGAAGGGGAAAGGGGAAGGGTGGCCATTGTGGGAGCCAAACCCCAACCTGCCTTCCCTCCTACACCCGGAGGCACAGGGCTGTACTAGCAGCCTGCAGCAGCCTGGGAACCCCGCCAAGGGGACCTGCCCCAGCCACCCCACCCTCCCCATAGGCCAAATTTAGCCCAGGCCAAAGCAGCAGCCAGCCGGCCCATTAAAGGGCCCCGCCCGCAGCCTGGGACCCAAACTGCCTGGGCATTCGCAATCCCCAGCCCTACAGACTCCGCCTCACTCCCAGGCCTCTTTCCCCTGCCCCCGCCCCAGAACCCCTCTTCTTCTAGCTCCTCACTCCTTAATCCTAACCCTCCCTCCAGCCTCCCCACTCCCTGAAGGCCCCAACTTGCCCACAAGGAGAGGAATCCAGAGGAACAGTGCTGCCATGGCTGCCCCAGCCTGCCCCAACCCCTGTGAGTGACAGAGACAGGGGCAGGAGAGGAGGGAGGAATGGGACGGTGTCCCGGCCTCACCCGCGGAACCTCCCCCTCCCAGCCCATTCCTTCCAGGGTGCTCCAAGTCCTGGAGTCCTCACACACAGCTTTGTCCCACCGTCCCTCCCGGAGGCCACCTACCAGACTACCGGGGTCCTCCCTTAAAGCTCCAATGGGTTGGGGAGGGATGCCGTCCACCTGTAATCCCGGCACTCGGGAGGCTGAGGCAGGAGGACCACTGTAAATCTGAGGCCAGCCTGGGCTCCATAGAGAGACCTTGTCTCAAAAATCCAAACAAGACAAACCCTGTGAGGCAAGAGGATCACTGCAAGTTCGAGGCCAACCTGGGCTATAAAGTGAGTTCAAAGCCAGCCTGAGCTGCAGTGAGACCCTGTCTCAAAAAGACAAAAACCAAACAACACAAAAACAACCCTGTGGCTTTCATTGTCCTTGAGCTCCTGGGCCATCCTTCTGGTCCTGGGCCACCCTCTAGGACACTGTCACAAGGCCCTCAACACACCAGAACACATGCATACCCCAGCCCTTTGAGTGTATAGGTGCTCAGGCTCCTTGGGGACCAGAGGCCCATTACCTTCCTATCCTGGCCTGGCACAGGGCCTGGCGGGTGTAGGAAGAGTAGTGACAGCTGCCTTCACGGCAAGTAGGGCGCGAGCTGTCCCAGCCTCAGCCAGGAGGAGCATCCGCAGGGCATAGATCTGGGAAGAGACAGGCAAGCCATGGAGGCCCCTGTGGCTTGGGTGTGCAGGGCTGATTGCACAGGCCTGGAGGTCAGGGCACTTGGGCCCCGTGCTGTTCCCTGGCCATGTGGCTTTGGGTGAGTGGTTTGCCCTCTCGTGGCCTTGGTTTCCACAGTTCTGTGCAGCTCCCACCTCTCAGTGTCATTGTGAAGCATCTCGATGGTGGTGATCCCTGTCCCTGAGGGTACTCGACAGGAAGGTTGCAGAGGTGCTCACACGGGGGTGAGGACAGCTGGCCGGGCACCCCAGTGCCCAAGGGCTCACATGTCATTGGGTATCTACCTCTGTTCCTACCCATGCTGGGTGCATGAGCAGGCTGCACTCCTGCCTCATTGTACAGATGGTAACACTGAGGCACGGGACCATGGAGGTCCCGAAGCCAGGCTGCTGGTAAGCTGAATGCTGGTGAAGTGCATAGCTCCTGTTCTTCCAGCTCCTCGCTCCTGAATCTTAGCCCTCACACTGGCCTCCCCACAGGAGGAAGGCCCTGCCGGTGACAGAGTCCACCAAGAACAGCCACGGTGGGTCACCACCTCCCCTGCTGTCCTGTATCAGCCACAGGACCTGGGTATCAGTGTGGAAGGGTCGGGTGCTCCTCACTCCTGGGCCACCTCTTTGGGACAGACAAAAGGTCGTCCTCCCCCGGTGCCACAGCTGCCAGCATCCCAGAGTCCTCGGTGTCACAAGAAGAAAGTGCCACCCCACCCCCATCACTCAACCGAATGTCCAGGCAAAGACATCTGGACCTGAGAATCCAGGGGTGCAGCCATGCAGCTGGGGTGGCTGGCTGAGAATTAGCTTTGTCCTTGTCCCTTCTTCTCTCTGTCTCTCTCTCCACCTGACCACCCCACCTGTCCACTGAGAGCCACAGTCAGCATCCACTCTGGCTCCCACGCAGGTGTTTGTCCCCACTTCACCCTGGGTCTCTCTGCCTTCTGGGAGATGGAGGGTGAGAGGAGGAGACTCTGGAGGCCAAGTGAGTTGGCCAGAGGACAGGGACGGCAGAGTGCAGAGCCTGCAGCTGCCCGGCCCAGCCCTGCGCTCTCCATGTGACTCCGTGCCACCCCCTGCCGCCTCCTTGCTATTTCTGGAGCCACCTACTCACACCCTCGGCTGTCACAGGCAGCAGTGTCACCAGGCACACACAGGAGGCCAGCCTCCCTTCGCAAAAGACCTGCAGCCACTTCCCCTCTGATCCTCCCAGGGACAGTCCTCAGGGCCAGCTAGAATCCAAGGCCCGAAGTGATCACAGCTGACCGGATTGTGGCTGCAGCTAAACACTCAGCCTCTTCTGTCTGTGGGGGACTAAGGGTGAGATGGGGTGGGGGTCCCAGGGTCCTTCAACTGCTTATGTTAGAAAATTATTAAAGCATATAGAATAGGCCAGGTGTGGGGATGCTAATCTGTAATCCCAACACTGGGGAGGCTGAAGCAGGAGGATCCCCTGAGTTTGAGGTCAGCCTAAATTGTATGGTAAGATCATGTCTCAAACAAACAGACAGACAACAATTATACAGAATAATATAACGAGCCCCTATGTTGGGCACAGGCGCTCAACATACCATACCCCACCCGGGACTAAAGACCACGCCAGCTTCCGCAATGCGCTACGTCCCTCTCTAAATTAGCCAACCTGTGCGCACCTCGTGCTCACTCTGTATTCGCCCCATGCCGACTCTGTGGCAACCCCTGATTGGCCACAGCTGGATATAGTAGCCAGAGCCTGCGTCCCATTCCCGCCCTGCTTCCTCGTGGCAGCCTGTGATTGGTCACGGCCAAATATATAAACCAGAGCCCGCGTAAATAAAGCAGCAGTTAACTGTCGCCCACAAGAGCGTCTCCTGTCTCATTAGGGGGCTGCGCCGGTCAACTGGTGGCCCGTACGGGGAGCGCTGAGACCCTCTCTACCACAGTACAGGGAATGAAACTCTCTCTCCGACAGAACAGAGCATCAACAGGTAAAACCATCAAGTGCCGATAGCGGGGGCTATCGGGCAACCTTGGGCGGACGCTTCGCAAGGGTCGAGGAACTCGTAAAGAGAGTTCCCGGTGCCATAAAGAGGCAGGTTTTGGGGGCGCTGTAAAGGGGCGCGGGGACTAAGCTGTCCCTGTTAAAAAAAAAAAAAAAAAGAAATAAAAAGAAACTCTTGAAATTCCGGTTAACATGGGTAACACCACTACTCAGCCGCTGTCAGTCGCTTTAAGCGACTTACTGAGAGAAAAGGGATTACAAATGAAACGAGAACAAATTCAAAACTTCCTCGATCAGGTCGATAAGGTAGCACCTTGGTTTGGTCCCACGGGGTCCGTTACCATCCCCAGCTGGGATAAATTAGAGAGAGATCTTGACTTTGCAGCAGAAAATGGCCTCCTGGAGCCAGGAGTCAGACCCCTTTGGGCAGTAGTGAGGAGCTGCCTCGAAGACGCCTCTTGTCGTGACCATATAAGGGCTGCGCCATGGCGCTTGGTTACCATCAGGCAGAATCCTCCCGCGAGCAATCTCGCAAGCCCAGTGCCGCAGGCGAGGCGACCGCACCCAACTCAGAAACAGAGGACTCGTCAGATAATGAGGGGGAGGAAGAAGTATACAAAATGGCGGATGCAGACACCACCGAAAGAGGGGAAGTCACACACACGCAGTCGAGAGGGCCCTACTCTGAGGCCATAAATGAGCTGCAATGCAGGATTTCTCAGAGTAAATGGGTCAATGAAAGCGAGTATGGGATCCCAGGGCCACCCCGTATAAGACCTACGGCTCTACCTCCCGACCCGCATCTTGCAGGGGGCCCAAGTCGAGCCCGCCGCGATTAAGGGCGCGCCAGCTCGGAGGCCCCAGGGATCCTTCTGCACCCCTATCTGGGCAAGGGTCCTCCAGTTTACCGCTTGTGACCCCCTGGATGGATACTCCCAGGAGATATCATGGGGATTCTCCCTGGCCACCATAAACACCACAAATATGACTTTTCCGAATTGCTCCACCGAAACCTGTTATATGTTACAATGTTGGGATAACAGTACACTTTCAGCTGTCGTTATGCAGGTACTCCAGTTCGTACCGATTCCAGTTATGACGGACCCAGACGAGTTTCCTGTGATCCAGCTCGGGCCTACTCTCCAATTGGCTTCCATAAAGGAATGGGCAGGAACAGGGGCTCTGGCTGCCATGGCTACATTTGCCGCATTCGGCAGTCTACTTCTGCTCTGTCGGATTCGCAGACAAAGGAATAGGGACAAAGTATCAAACAAGCATTGCTGATCATGGAATCTGGTCAAAGCCCGGCAGCATGGCTCGCCATGCTGTGACGCAGGTGTGGAGCAAAGCATCGCAGAGGGTGTCGTCCTTGGCCAGGGGACACTCCGGTCTCCAAGTCGATGAGCATGCGGGTTGGGCTCATAAAACAATACTCCCGCCCCCTCCAAAAGAGCACAATGGGTAGTGAGGTACTGTCATGACTGCACAGCATGACGCCTCATGAGGGGCACCGACCTCTGGAGACCCTGCCTCAGTTATAAAGAAAGGGGGAGATGTTGGGCGCAGGCGCTCAACATACCATACCCCACCCAGGACTAAGGACCATGCCAGCTTCCGCAATGCGCTACGTCCCTCTCTAAATTAGCCAACCCGTGCGCACCTCGTGCTCACTCCGTATTCGCCCCGTGCCGACTCTGTGGCAACCCCTGATTGGCCACAGCTGGATATAGTAGACAGAGCCTGCGTCCCATTCCCGCCCTGCTTCCTCGTGGCAGCCTGTGATTGGTCATGGCCAAATATATAAACCAGAGCCTGCGTAAATAAAGCAGCAGTTAACTGTCGCCCACAAGTGCGTCTCCTGTCTCATTGGGGGGCTGCGCAGGTCACCCCTATGTACTCATTACCCAGCTTCAACGAGTAATAACTAGTGGCCAGCCTAGTTTCATTCCTACACCTCCAGATTTCCCCCTCCCACTTAATTTCATCTGTCGAGGTTTCAGGGTGTTATGGATTAAGAACTGGTGGTCAACTTAACGCCAGCTGGATTACATCAGCATGGCATTGAGCAGAGATACTCCACCTGAGGAAAGTTGCTAGAATAAATAGGTGGAGAAGAAGGGAGGTGTTGGGGGTATTGAGGCGTTAATGCGTTGTTGCATTGAGGTATTGTGGGTTCTCCCACGAGTTGCTGTCTGAGCTGTTGGTTCTCCTGGAGAAGCTCTGGTTCTCACATCGAACATTGCTTCCTGGCTCTGAAGGGGAAGACGTGTGCTGCTTGGTCTCCAGGATGAACTCGTCACGCTGCTTCCTGGCATGTGCCCGACTGTGCTTGTTGGAGGAGGAGCTCGGGGTCTCCATGTCCCTGAGGACAGCTGTGGTGCCTTTCAGGGCAGCCCTGGTCTTGTTGTGAGTGTGACTTCTCAGCTCCAGCAAAGAACCCTAATCCCACCAGCACAGCTCCTTCACCCCGCTGGCATGGACTTTCTGGCTTCCACTGCTGAGCTTTGGGCCTTCCCGGCACAGATTGGTAAAGAGACTGGTGTGAGTCCTTCTTGTGGGCTCTGGACCTCCAGTTGGACTCGTGGAGGCACTGTCCTGAGCTCTGGATTTTTATCTGGATTCATGTGAGACATTGCTGTGGGATTTAGGCTCTTGACTATTCTATGTCTTTGATGTTGCGGATAGATTCCCTGCATTTTCCTGTGTTAACTCCCGGTGAGCATTATAAAAAATAATATTATAAACTCCATGTCTTGATCCTAATTGTTCTCTGTATAGAACCCCTGAGTACAACACAGGGTATATCTTTAAGAGTGAAAGACTATAAAAGCAAAATAAAATCTAATGACTTTAACCTAATCACAAAACATGCTTAATTATTAACATGCTCAGTAATTCATTACTATAAATTTCCAGTGTTCAGATTCCTGATTTCCTGTTTGTTTTTCTCATGTATACGAGTTTGGTACACTGGGGATTGAACACGGACCCATCTACGCTAGGCAAATGCTCTACCCCTGAGCTACATCCCCAGCCCTTGTTTGTTTGGTTGGTTTTCTGAGAAGAGGTTCAATATATAAGTTTAAAACTGGCCTTAAACTTGTTATGTAGCCCAAGGTGGCCTGGAACCCATGATCTTCTTAAGTCCCCAATACTGTGCCACACCCAGCTGGTTACTATAGGAGATAGGGGTCTCACAGTGGCAGTCTTGAACTTCCAGGCTCAAATAACCCTCCTGCCTCAGCCTCCTGAGTCACTGGGGATACTGATGCTAGTCTCAGTCCTCAGCTAATTGCTTTAAAAAAAAAAAAGCATTGGTTTGGCTTGAATAGACAGCAGATAAGGCAAACATATGTTGCTGCTGAGAGTGAACTCAGTAGTGTAGATCAACCCCAGGGCCTTTGTGCTGTGCCCAGGATGGGCTTGAAATTGTGATTCTCCTGCCTCAGCCTCCCAAAGTACTGGCATACAGGCATATGCCACCATGCCCAGCTATTACAACAACTGATGGTGTCTTGTAAGTATCTCCTCCTCTCTAGGTCCCCGAGCGTACTCTTCTCTTCCCACCTTCCTTCCCTCTTTCCTTCTTTCTTTGAGCTCTCTCTGCTGGTTGAGGGAGCCCAGCCTGCTGTCCTGCAGTTTTCCACAGACTGCATTTTGCTGACCAGGTTCCTCCCGTTTTCTCTAACACGTTCCCCTGACACCTGCACTGTCTGCAAATGCTATTTCCCGTACATGGTGCCGTCCCGAAAGTCATGGTTGGATCTAGAGCCCTGATCGGATTTAGGCTCAGCTGTCCTTAGCAAGACACCTGCATGGCAGCAGTGTCCTTCCATCTCAAGGCACATCCTGTAACATCAGCTTTTTTAGCTGGCGCGCTGCTGTTCTGCAAATGGTGACATTCAGATTCAATCACCAGCTTTTTCCTTAGCTGGCATACTTCATGATTGGGCTACAGAGTGGCACAGTTCATAGAGGAAAGCCAGAGTATTGTTTTCCTATATTTACCCGGTACGAAATACTGCTTTCCCAGAATTCTTCAAACTGACCAATTAGCAGCCTCCCCTCTGCCACACACACTCACCCTGCTAGGGGGCCAACTATGAATTCATGGTTTGAACACCGGGTCTCTTCAGTTCGGTGCAGCTCCCTAGCATCCCGCCTGGAGATCGCCAGGTCCCGACCTCAGCTCTCCATTTAGTGCTCACCTCCTGGAAAGCGGAGAAAAGAACTGGGGGTCCGATCTCTGTGTCTGCCTGTCTCAGCCTTCTGGGGTGCAGGCTTGCCCCTGTGACCCCAGCCCTGCCCTAGACCAGCTGGCTCTCCGTCCTCTCCACTCTGCCTTCCTCGTCCATCTCCCCAGCTTCCTGCCCTTTCTCTGCCCTCCCAGGGCCATATTTTCTTCATCTGCATCCACAACGGGACAAAGGAAAAGCTTTCTGATTCTCGCATCTGTTTCCCGGACTCCACCCACCGCTTTCTCCCCCATCCTCTTCGCCGCCCCCAGCGCAACAACAAAGGGTGCGATTCGGTCAGTCCGCCGCGAGGGGGCGCGCTGGCAGGCTTCAGCTCGGATCTGCGCTTGCGCAATGTTGGGGCGGAGCCGGCAATCGGGCTGGAACCCGGAACCGGGCGCTGCAAACCCGAGGAGCTGAGGACGGAGCGCCGGGCCCGAGCCAGACGTGTGCGACGCGGTGTCTGCGGGAGCGGACCTGAGTCCCCGGAGTCCCCTTCCCTACCGAGAACGTCTTCCCTGGGAAAGGGAACCCGCGTGGAGGCCGGGATTGGACCCAATGAACGCGTCCCGCCCACCGTCCGCGGTGTCAACCCCGCGACTTCCAAGGACAGCGCCGCGTCCCCCTCGCCCCGCAGACATGTTGGGGCGCCGGCCTGAGGAGCTGTGGCTACCCAGACTCTTGCTCTCCTTTTCCCGGGAGGACTTCCGGCCTTCAAAGGGTTTCTTGAACTTGTAGCTCAGAGCCGTCCTACCCGAGCCGGGGGACGCCCGATCCAACTTGTAGCTTAGAGAAGCAGAACCGCCTCCAGCGGGATGCTGCCTCCGCAGAGTGTGGGTAGGAGAGATCGAGGAGGAGATCGTGGGGCGAAGGTGCTCGGTAAACCGTAAAGCTCACCAGAAAGCACAGGGTGTTTAAAAAAATTTATAGGGCTGGAGGTTTAGCTCAGCGGCATAAGCACCTGCCTTGCAAGCAGGCGGTCGTGAGTTCGATCCCCGGTACCGATAAAAATGAAAAAGACAAAAAAAAAAAAAAAAAATTTATAACAGACAGGGAAGGCAGGAGCTGCAGAGGGCAGGGCCTGATCGCTGGGAGAGATCAGATTTAGAAGCTAGCACTCATTGATAAAGGACATGAAAAAGACAAGCTCTTCTGACATCTTTTGTGGGTGGGCTGATTACTTATATAGAAAATCCAAGAGATTCTACAAGCATATTATTAGTGACAGAAGTCAGCCAGGCGACTGGAGAAAGATGGATATCCAAATATAAATACAAAGTTCCAGTATTTCTGTATACTCGCAACTCACTTAAAAACTATATTTTTAGGGCTGGGGATTTAGCTCAGCGGCATAAGCACCTGCCTTGCAAGCAGGCGGTGGTGAGTTCAATCCCTGGCACCAATTTTTTAAAAAATTGTCTTTTTAGAAAAATCGCAACACTAAATCACAAAATTAAAATTGTAGAAGAAATCTAGAAAAGTCACGTTGAGATGCGGATGAATAAAAACATGAATGTGAAGAAATCTAGAAAAGTCACATCAAGATGCACATGAATAAAAACATGATTGTAGTCTTACAAAAGGAATAAATCGATGTAGAGAAGGGTTCAATTCAGGGGTGGGAAGCCTCAGTGTCCTTCTCAAAGATGATTGTGTCCCCATGAAGCTGTGGATATTACGCATGTTCAGTAACTATCCCAGTGGAGTATTTCACAGAGCTTGGCAGACTGGTTCTAAAATTCACACAGAAGGGCAAAAGCGTAAGCAAAGGTCTTGAGGATTCTAACTGATAGCAAGACTTTTTCAAAAGCGATAGTAATGAAAACGATGTGGTATTGGCACTGGGCTAGACAAAGAGATCAATAGAATAGAGGGCCCCGAAACAGTTCCAAGCATGTGTGGGAATTTGATTTATGACGATGGTGGCAGTGCAGCTGTGGGAGAGAACAGACTATTCAATAAGGAATGTCGAGACATTTGGTGTTTCATATAAACCATTAATATTAATTCCAGATGGATTAAAGATGTAAAAGTCAAAAACAAAATTTTACATTAAAATTTTAATTAACAGAAAAGGTAGTAGATCCAAGGGTTAAAAGTCCTTAGACAAGAGACCTA